TTAAATTGAAACCTCTCATATGAATTAAATACAAAAATTCTAATATCTGAGAAATTTGGCACGAAGAACTTTAACGTCCATGTGAACATTTGGGGGAAAAATTAACGGACATTCATATGAATTAAATAAAAAAATCGTATATTTAAAATACTTAAATTTTGCACCAATAACTTTGACATCCATGAGAAAATTTAGGTATTAAGTTGGCGTACTCGCAATAGGGCAATTCTCATATGAATTAAATACAAAAGTTAGTTTATCTGGGAAACTATTGGAACTAGAATCTTCAAATTTTGAACAAAGAACTTTAACATTTTCTGAACATGGGCGGACCTTCATTAGGGGGACTTGGAACCTATTATATGAATTAAATCCAAAAACTATTAGAACTAGAATCTGACATTAATGTGAACATTTGGGTAATAAATGGACGGAAAAGGGAGCGTGGAACCTTTCATATGAATGCAACTAGAATCCTAAAAGTTTGCATGAAAAACTTATACATTCGAGAGAATGTTTGGGGAAAACGGTCGGACTTTCAATGGGAGACGTGGCATAAATAGAATTTTCAAAATCATAAAGTTGGTTTGGTTTGACGCTTATTGCGACTTTTAGTCCTTTTCATATACATGAACAGGAACTTTTTGGTACTTTTTCCTTTCCAAATGAATTTCGTATAATATGGAACCTAAACCTAATTCGATCCCAGAATTTCACTGAACCTTATCAGAAGATTTTTAACACTTTCACAAAACACTGTCGTAATAGATTACTTCTAAGCAGCCTCAAAGTATCTAACAAAATGTTTAAATAAAGAAATATTTGTTATATGCATCTATTGTTTTATTACTTTTATTTAAATAAATTACAAGCATTTAGTTTCTTAGTTATTTCCATTTAAAATAAGTGTTTGTTGTTCTTTTATGTATAATATACTTATTTTCTTATATTTAAGCTTTTAAAAATATCAATTATTTTTTGGTTTTTCTAAATATGTTTGATTTAAGTTAACCATTAATTAAGATAATGGTACCAATTAAAATAAACTTCAGACATTAAATATAATTTTTTAATTTCAGACATGAAACACTAGTTTTTATTGTAGTATTAAGTTTTATTCTTTTTAATAATAACTAAACAAGTTATTTAAAAGGAAACATAACTGGGTTGTTATATTTTAAACTTTTAAGCGTGTATTTTTTTTTTTTTTTGCAAATTGTAGTAGTTTTCTTGTGGCTTTAATAAAGTTAATAAATTAGTTTTAGTTTTAAATATAACAATGACTTATTAAAAATAGTATAAATAAAATATAGTAAATTGAATATATTGCCAAACATAAAAATGTTTCATTAATATATAAATAACAATAATAAAAAAATGCTTTAAAAGACTAAAAAACTAATTAAAGAAATATAGAAAGTGTTTTAAAAACAAAATATCTATTAGATAAATAACTAAAATTAATAACAATGCAATTAAAATGCTAAGATAGTGACAATTTAACCATAAAATTAAATTTTATTATAAGCTTTAGTTCTGTGTTTAAATTTATTTTGTTTGTATATTCTTTTTATATCATTTTACTTCAAAAAACTGTTGAAAAAATATATACTTTTCTAAAAAATATCATTTATCATCAATTATTTATTTTTTCTTGGTTTATCATTTATGCAGGTTTACTTTCATTTCTCATACATTTTTTTTGTTTATTAAGCACTTTTTCTTTTTTTTTCGTATTTTTATTAAAGTAAATTGTTTGTAGTGGATAATTCTAGCCAAACACAAATTATAGGGGTTTTTAATTTAGTTTTACATTTAATGCAGCCAAAAATTTTGTTTAAGTAACTTTTAGTAATTTTGAATATTCTTTTTTTTTTTGTAAATTTGGAACTTTTTCTTTGGGTCTTGTTTTATAGTTATCAGATTCCTTTTGTTTACAGAAATTTTTCTTAAGCTTTTTTTTAAATTATTAAGCTCTTAAATTCGTTTTTATTTTGCTCTTTTTTAGCTTTTAGATAAAAAATTCCTTAAACTATCTGCGCAAATCCACTACACGTATCTTTTGTTCTGTGTCCATTTGAATGTGTTGGGCTTCCTAGAAGATTAAAAGAAAAGAAGAAAAATAATGTTAAATACTTTATTTAAAGGAATTTTGAGTTGTACAGAAAATTACCATAAACAATGGTGGATCATTGGGATGTGGATGAAATCCACTTTTTCTACATTCAAGCAATATAATTCAGACCATAAGTTGGGGTAAGTATAAAGAAACCGGTACTGTAATTAAAAAAAAAACTGTTAGCTAGTATTTTACAGAAATATTAAATTAAGAAATGAAGAGAGTACTAAGTCGAGATTGCAGTCTGTTGGACAACTACTACTCAGACGGGTCCTACAGTCTGGACTATAGTCTAGTTTGGACTAAAGATTTGTCTGGACTATAGTCTAGGCTATAGTCTGGACAATAGCCTAGTCTATAGTCTGGACTATAGTCTAGTCTATAGTATGGACTATAGTCTAGTCTATAGTATGGACTATAGTATAGTCTATAGTATGGACTATAGTCTGGACTATAGTCTAGTCTATAGTATGGACTATAGTCTGGACTATAGTTTAGTCTACAGTCTGGACTATAATCTAGTATATAGTCTGGACTATAGTCTAGTCTACAGTAAGGACTATAGTCTAGTCTATAGTCTGGAATATAGTGTAGTTTATAGTCTGGAATATAGTCTAGACTCTATTCTGGGCTATAACTTGCCTGTAGTCTAGTCTATAGTCTTGTCTATATTCTGGACTATAGTCTAGTCTATAGTCTTGTCTGTATTCTGGACTATAGTCTAGTCTATAGTCTGGTCTACTCTACAGTCTTGTCTAGTCTATAGTCTGGTCTAGTCTATAGTCTTGTCTAGTCTACAGTCTGGTCTAGTCTATAGTCTGGTCTAGTCTATAGTCTGGCCAATATTCTAGTCTATAATTCGGACTATATACATAGTTCATTCTATATAATATTTCAAAATAAAATTTTGACAATTATTCTAACTTACGTTTGATATTTTGGTGCACAAACAATTGCAATAGCTTCGGGCATCATTATCTGATACGAACAATGGGTATGTAAGTCCACTGATGACAAAAACGATGTCTGCGTGGGGTGAGTCTTTAATCGGAAAAAACAATTTATTACAATTTTTTTTTTTCACAAACATTTTTCATTTTTTCAACTTACATGTATCCATCCCAATGTTATTAAATTTTGTTCATCTTGCACTTCAAATATTTCCTCTTCGTGTATGGTGGTGCACGAGTCTGGGGTGCCCTGCTGTTTGGGTATTATAACATGTGTTATATACAAACGATCGTGGGCCAAATGACCAGCCAATATGCCACAAGTTTCGATATTTTTATTCGTGTTCGCCAGGGCAAGTTGCAGAAATACATCCATTGTGTTTTGTGGTATGACAACGGTGCGCAGTGAACCCTCCAGCAGGGAATTTGAACGATCGTATTGTGGTTTAGTGGAACGATCAAAAGAGGGTTTCGAGGGAAGGCTATAAAAGAAATTATTGGAATTTTAGAAAATCATTTATAGAACAAACTTATGACAACTATTTGATACTTACTTCGATCGCTTATCCTCCTTATCCAAACTATCCGAAGGTAATAGTAAATTTGACTTATGACCACCCGTTGGAAAATCATTGGGATATACCACCTGATCTAGCAAGCCCATATCGGGTGCCGTGGGCTGAACATTAGGATCCATTTGCACATGTAAATTGGCGGGTATTAAAGAAGCTGATTTTGTCGAATCATTAGCAGCCGCTTCTCGTATACGACGTTCACGTTCCATTTCCCGCACACGTTCGGCTTCTTTATTCGCCAGAAATTGTTCATATTCCCTTTGATAACGATCCAATAGTTTGGCACGTAACTTTTCCGAAGTGGGCATAACTTCATCTTTAATACGTTTATTAATGAATTTCATTTCAGACTTAATGCTGGGATAGTCGGGATGCGAACGTATCTTTTCCACAAACAGCGTTAAATATTTCATATACAAATGAAGGCATTTTCATGATTACCCTCGGCAAGATAGACTTGGGCCATGCGTAACATTTCAGTGCCAGAGCGATAATAGCTAGGAGAAAGAAAAAACAATAAAGAAATAAGTTTTTTTTATAACATTGCCTAAAAGTACCACTATACACATATCAACAGGAGTCTAACCTTCAGTTGCTAGAGACATATTGTTAAACAACCTCATTATAAGGTCATTTTAATAACCTTGTTTGCCTGCCACTTGCAATTTTCTTTTGCTATTTTTTTCCAAAACACAACTGCACAATGGCATATGCTCCCCCCCACCAAACAAGGTTAAAGTTATGCAAAAATTTTCCCTTTTCCAATAGGTTAAAAGTTGGTGCATTTGTTTTAGAAAACTTACCGATTTATAGATTGTTTAGGATCCACATCTATCAAGTTGCCATAGTTGACCAAATAGCGCATTCTTTCCTGGGGCTCCACTATACTCATGCCCATGTAATTTATGGCTTTCGAAGACATTTTTTAAGGGGATTTTTTACACTTGCAAATGTTTGTTGCAAATTTTAAATTTTTTCATTCGTTTTTCTCTTTTTATTAGATTAATAATAATTGTTTTTGTTTACGAATTTTTGTTGTAATTATAAATAGTTTTTTATTTATTTATTTATTTTCTTCGTAGTATTTTTAACATTAATTATTATAATTACTCATTATGTAGTAGAGATCAAAACAAAACAATAAGAAATGAATTATGAAGGAAAAATATGAAGAGAATTGTCAAAAAACAAAATTAATTTTACAGCGGCTTATTTAGCAGTTGCGGTTGATTTAAGAAATATACTAAATTAATAGTAAAGATGGCGCTGTTGTTTTGAGTTACTAAATTCGGTTTTTGTACTGGAAGTTAATTTATCTTTTATAATAATTTATTTTAAACAGATAGATAGATAGATAGATAGATAGTATAGATAGATAGATAGATAGATAGATAGATAGATAGATAGATAGATAGATAGATAGATAGATAGATAGATAGATAGATAGATAGATAGATAGATAGATAGATAGATAGATAGATAGATAGATAGATAGATAGATAGATAGATAGATAGATAGATAGATAGATAGATAGATAGATAGATAGATAGATAGATAGATAGATTAGATAGGATAGATAGATAGATAGATAGATAGATAGATAGATAGATAGATAGATAGATAGATAGATAGATAGATAGATAGATAGATAGATAGATAGATAGATAGATAGATAGATAGATAGATAGATAGATAGATAGATAGATAGATAGATAGATAGATAGATAGATAGATAGATAGATAGATAGATAGATAGATAGATAGATAGATAGATAGATAGATAGATAGATAGATAGATAGATAGATAGATAGATAGATAGATAGATAGATAGATAGATAGATAGATAGATAGATAGATAGATAGATAGATAGATAGATAGATAGATAGATAGATAGATAGATAGATAGATAGATAGATAGATAGATAGATAGATAGATAGATAGATAGATAGATAGATAGATAGATAGATAGATAGATAGATAGATAGATAGATAGATAGATAGATAGATAGATAGATAGATAGATAGATAGATAGATAGATAGATAGATAGATAGATAGATAGATAGATAGATAGATAGATAGATAGATAGATAGATAGATAGTAGATAGATAGATATAGATAGATAGATAGATAGATAGATAGATAGATAGATAGATATAGATTGATTGATTGATTGATTGATTGATGCATAGGTATATATTTCCATTTTTCTCATTTCCGCCATTGTGTAATGCTCAACATGGAAGGTCTGTGAGATCGATTTTCAAAACCTTAACTTCTGGAAAATGTACATATATATTTCAAAAAAGATTAATCCAAATCCAAAATAATTTCCCTATATAAAATAATAAATTTCCCTACATAACATAATAATAAAAAATATCTGGTAAATAAATAATGTATTAAAATTTTTAGCCGATATCAAGGTCAAATTAAATTTGCATATTTTCCCCAACATTCTTCGTTTGCATTGTCCAATTTTATTTCGTTCTTTTACTATATCAGTTCTTTTTCTCATTCCCTTGATAAGTTTTGTTTTCTTTTATATAGTTTTATTTTTATATACATTCTACGAGTACAACAACTATTTACATATACTTTGTTTTCTAATCTTAATTTTAAGCCGATTATATTGTCTTTATCTATGTCTTGATATTATTTGCTTTACGGGTGGGTTGATTTAAACCTTTTGAACTTGTCCCCCATGCTAAATTGTATAATATTTGTATTTGTTTGTTTAAAAAAAATCTAAAATTTCATTGGCATTCAGTTGGTCTCTGGGGGTTCTTAAGTGCGTGTGAAAATTAAAGGAAATTAACGAACGCAGTAAGTTTTCTGTTCAATTTATTTTCCGTTTTAAATAAAATTGTGCCGCAAATCTTTTAAAATTATACTTGGATTGGAAAACAATACAAATTAATGTACTCGTATACATTAATTTGTATAAACATTTTTCGGATCGAATTGTTATCCATCTAGTCTGAAAATTAAGCAATTTTTAAATTTCGGGAAGATCAATACTTAGAAACGGCAAAATCGGTACATAAAAAACGGAGATATGAGCAAAATTCCAAAACCGATATTCCTATAGAATATTGGTATTACCACAAGAATTTGCATATATAACTAAGACCTGGATAGGTCCATAATTGACCATAACACCCAAATAACGGCCACTTCCAAAAGTCTCTTAATCGTAAATAACTTATGAATTAATAATGATATCGGAATAAAGTTTTACTCGAATATGTTGTGTATATACATATGAACTAACAAGTATAGTCGGATATGGCCGACCATATGATACCCTACACCATTGAATATACTAAAATGTGGATTTTTAATAATAATGCATTTAATTTGCATTTTACCCTAATTACGATATATTTTAACAATTCTAAAAGAGGTTTATATTAGCCCAAGGAAAATTATGGACCTTATAAATTATAGTTATTTATGTAGAATTTAATCGTGATATTAGGTGTTTATAAGTGAATTTTGACTTTTAAGTCATTTGTGTTTTGTCGATTTTTAGAGATATACTAGAACATTTAACATAATTATGAGCTTAACAGCCCTATCCGGGGGGTACGGTTATATAGGGGCTAGGCGAAAGAATGGACCGATTTTAATTATTTTCAAAAGGCTTCATCCTTGGGTCAAAAAAAGAGTATGTATGTGCCAAATTTTATAAAATTATCTTGCGGTCTATAGTGTGCGCACAAGGTTTACACGGTCACACTTATAGGTGGCCTATAGTGTGCGCACAAGGTTCACAAGGTCACACTTATAGGTGAAGGGAACTGAAGATTCGGAATATAGCACACTAACTTGTTTTCTTATACGATAATTAGGTCAAATTAAAATTCTTCTTAAAGTTGGTTGTTCAAAAGTCAACTTATAGAACCCAACTTTAAGGTGGATATAAAAATGTATGGATACACCCATATACAAAAATATGTGTTCAATTTATTGCCTGACCAGAAAAATGTACATTTGTACTAAAAAATTCAGTAGTTTCAAAACGTTCATAAAAAGTGCTATCAGTTTTTAATTTGATAAACGAAAATAAATATTTTATTAACAGATTAAAAGCATTATCATAAGATTAAACAAATGCAAATAAATAAAAACCTTATAGATATAAAAATCGAAGAAAATAACAGCAAAGCCAGAAAAAGTATTCAAAAATATTTTGAGCAAATTAAGCAAAAAATCTTAAATCAACTGAATTCAATACAAAGCCGTAAACTAAATCACTTTTACAGCTTGACTTTGGCACACTTTGATAAAGTTACAAATAATAAAAAAAGAAACATAAATAAATTAAGAAAAAACAAGTAAGAGTGTTATATTCGGCTATGCCGAATCTTATATACCCACCATCAAACCTCGTTTGACTAGAATGAAACTTACTTATGTCGAATTTCATCTATATACTCGTATTTTTTAGGCCAGTTATAAGCGTTAAAGTAATTTTCTGAAGGGGACCTTATATAGGGGGTAGGGTCAATTATGGGTCGATCCGAATATAATTTGGTAGACAGAATTTGGTTCCTATTAAATTTATTTGTGTCGAATTTCATCGCTACACTCGTATTTTTAAGCCATTAATGAGCGTTGCAGTCATTTTCTAAAGGGGACCTTATATGGGGGGTAGGGTCAATCATGGACCGATCCTCATAAAATTTTTTAGATAGATTTTGACTCATATGAAATTTACTTATGTCGAATTTCATCTATATACTAGTATTTTTAAGCCAGTAATGAGCGTTAAAGTCATTTTCTGAAGGGGACCTTATATGGGGGGTACGGTCAATTATGGACCGATCCTCATAAAATTTTGCATAATGATTTTGGATCATAAGAAACTTACTTATGTCGAATTTTATCGCTATATTCGTATTTTTAAACAAGTTATGGCTGTTAAAGCTGCTTTTCGAGGGGCCACTTGTATGGGGGCTATCAGAAAATGTGGACCGATATTGCCCATTTTCAATACCAAACAAACCTTACCTGTAAGAAATATTTGTGTGAAATTTCAACCCTCTAGCTCTTTCCATTGGGACTCTATCGTGCTTTCAACAGACAGACAGACAGACAGACAGACAGACGGACGGACGGACGGACGGACAGACATGGCTAGATCGACTTAGAATTTAATGAGGACCCAGAATATATATACTTTTGTGGGTCTATGACCAATATTTCGATGTGTTACAAACGGAATGACAAAATCAATATACCCCCCATCTTTTTTGATGGTGGGTATAAAAACGATTGTAATAAAATTAAGCAACACTAAAGAAGAAAATCAAAGCAAAAGTGACAAATTGACGGACAGACAATAAAACCAAATGTTTGGATGGTTGGTTTATTTATTTACTACCGCTAAAATAACTGCTGCTGCGTGATTTGGTACAAACAAAAGCCAGAAAAAAAAACTTGGCTTGAAAAAGCGTCAAAAACAGCAAATGTTATGAATTAAATGAATCAACAAAATAAGCAAAAAACATACAAAGTGATAAAAGCAACAACAAACTCTTTAAAAGAACTACAAAACACACTAACAAAAACGCGGACTATTTTGAAAACTCACAAAGCAAACAAATCAAAGCCATTAATTTTGTTTACGTAGAGAGTAGTAAGCACTTAATTACATGAAGAGCTTTGGTGGAGAACATTTTCTGTTATGTGGACACCTCCCTCCCCATTCTAAACAAAGAAAACCCAATTATTGATAACAAAAACAACATAACAATCATTTGGCATAATGACGAAGAAAGAGAGACTGATCATATCACAATAGGTGCTGCCACTAGGTTAAACAGATTTGTCGTGATTTTTATACCCACCATCATAAACCCACAAAAGTACAGGTTATATGATGTGAGTTACATTATATATGATGAAATACGCTTCTCCTCCACCAGGCCTGGAAATAATCTATAGTCTAGTCTATAGAGTCTAGTCTAGTCTAGTCTAGTCTAGTCTAGTCTAGTCTATAGTCTACGTCTATAGTCTAGTCTATAGTCCTTCTATAGTCTAGTCTATAGTCTAGTCTATAGTCTAGTCTATAGTCTAGTCTATAGTCTAGTCTATAGTCTAGTCTATAGTCTAGTCTATAGTCTAGTCTATAGTCTAGTCTATAGTCTAGTCTATAGTCTAGTCTATAGTCTAGTCTATAGTCTAGTCTATAGTCTAGTCTATAGTCTAGTCTATAGTCTAGTCTATAGTCTAGTCTATAGTCTAGTCTATAGTCTAGTCTATAGTCTAGTCTATAGTCTAGTCTATAGTAGTCTAGTCTATAGTCTAGTCTATAGTCTAGTCTATAGTCTAGTCTATAGTCTAGTCTATAGTCTAGTCTATAGTCTAGTCTATAGTCTAGTCTATAGTCTAGTCTATAGTCTAGTCTATAGTCTAGTCTATAGTCTAGTCTATAGTCTAGTCTATAGTCTAGTCTATAGTCTAGTCTATAGTCTAGTCTATAGTCTAGTCTATAGTCTAGTCTATAGTCTAGTCTATAGTCTAGTCTATAGTCTAGTCTATAGTCTAGTCTATAGTCTAGTCTATAGTCTAGTCTATAGTCTAGTCTATAGTCTAGTCTATAGTCTAGTCTATAGTCTAGTCTATAGTCTAGTCTATAGTCTAGTCTATAGTCTAGTCTATAGTCTAGTCTATAGTCTAGTCTATAGTCTAGTCTAGTCTATAGTCTAGTCTATAGTCTAGTCTATAGTCTAGTCTAGTCTATAGTCTAGTCTATAGTCTAGTCTAGTCTATAGTCTAGTCTATAGTCTAGTCTAGTCTATAGTCTAGTCTATAGTCTAGTCTAGTCTATAGTCTAGTCTAGTCTATAGTCTAGTCTAGTCTATAGTCTAGTCTATAGTCTAGTTTATAGTCTAGTCTATAGTCTAGTCTAGTCTATAGTCTAGTCTATAGTCTAGTCTATAGTCTAGTCTATAGTCTAGTCTATAGTCTAGTCTAGTCTATAGTCTAGTCTATAGTCTAGTCTATAGTCTAGTCTAGTCTATAGTCTAGTCTATAGTCTAGTCTATAGTCTAGTCTATAGTCAGTCTAGTCTAGTCTATAGTCTAGTCTATAGTCTAGTCTAGTCTAGTCTAGTCTATAGTCTAGTCTAGTTAGTCTAGTCTAGTCTATAGTAGTCTATAGTCTAGTCTATAGTCTAGTCTAGTCTATAGTCTAGTCTATAGTCTAGTAGTCTAGTCTATAGTCTAGTCTATAGTCTAGGTCTAGTCTATAGTCTAGTCTATAGTCTAGTCTATAGTCATAGTCCTAGTCTAGTCTATAGTCTAGTCTATAGTCTAGTCTATAGTCTAGTCTATAGTCTAGTCTAGTCTATAGTCTAGTCTATAGTCTAGTCTAGGCTATAGTCTAGTCTATAGTCTATTCTATAGTCTAGTCTATAGTCTAGTCTATAGTCTAGTCTATAGTCTAGTCTATAGTCTAGTCTAGTCTATAGTCTAGTCTAGTCTTAGTCTAGTCTATAGTCTAGTCTATAGTCTAGTCTATAGTCTAGTCATAGTCTAGTCTATAGTCTAGTCTATAGTCTAGTCTATAGTCTAGTCTATAGTCTAAGTCTTAGTCTAGTCTATAGTCTAGTCTATAGTCTAGTCTATAGTCTAGTCTATAGTCTAGTTCTATAGTCTAGTCTAAGTCTAAGGTCTAGTCTAGTCTATAGTCTAGTTTATAGTCTAGTCTAGTCTCTAGTCTAGTCTAGTCTAGTTAGTCTAGTCTAGTCTAGTCTAGTCTAGTCTAGTCTAGTCTAGTCTAGTCTAGTCTATAGTCTAGTCTAGTCTAGTCTAGTCTATAGTCTAGTCTAGTCTAGTCTATAGTCTAGTCTATAGTCTAGTCTAGTCTATAGTCTAGTCTAGTCTAGTAGTCTAGTCTATAGTCTAGTCTATAGTCTAGTCTAGTCTATAGTCTAGTCTATAGTCTAGTCTATAGTCTAGTCTATAGTCTAGTCTATAGTCTAGTCTATAGTCTAGTCTATAGTCTAGTCTATAGTCTAGTCTATAGTCTAGTCTATAGTCTAGTCTATAGTCTAGTCTATAGTCTAGTCTATAGTCTAGTCTATAGTCTAGTCTATAGTCTAGTCTATAGTCTAGTCTATAGTCTAGTCTATAGTCTAGTCTATAGTCTAGTCTATAGTCTAGTCTATAGTCTAGTCTAGTCTATAGTCCTAGTCTATAGTCTAGTCTATAGTCTAGTCTAGTAGTCTAGTCTATAGTCTAGTCTATAGTCTAGGTCTATAGTCCTAGTCTATAGTCTAGTCTATAGTCTAGTCTATAGTCTAGTCTATAGTCTAGTCTATAGTCTAGTCTATAGTCTAGTCTATAGTCTAGTCTATAGTCTAGTCTATAGTCTAGTCTATAGTTAGTCTAGTCTAGTCTAGTCTAGTCTATAGTCTAGTCTATAGTCTAGTCTATAGTCTAGTCTATAGTCTAGTCTATAGTCTAGTCTATAGTCTAGTCCTATAGTCTAGTCTATAGTCTAGTCTATAGTCTAGTCCTATAGTCTAGTCTATAGTCTAGTCTATAGTCTAGTCTATGTCTAGTCTATAGTCCTAGTCTATAGTCTAGTCTATAGTCTAGTCTATAGTCTAGTCTATATCTAGTCTATAGTCTAGTCTATAGTCTAGTCTATAGTCAGTCTATAGTCTAGTCTATAGTCCTAGTCTATAGTCTAGTCTATAGTCTAGTCTATAGTCTAGTCTATAGTCTAGTCTAGTCTAGTCTAGTCTAGTCTAGTCTAGTCTAGTCTATAGTCTAGTCTATAGTCTAGTCTATAATCTAGTCTATAGTCTAGTCTAAAGTCTAGTCTATAGTCTAGTCTAGTCTAGTCTATAGTCTAGTCTATAGTCTAGTCTAGTCTATAGTCTATAGTCTATAGTCTATAGTCTATAGTCTAGTCTAGTCTATAGTCTAGTCTAGTCTAGTCTAGTCTAGTCTAGTCTAGTATATAGTCTAGTCTAGTCTATAGTCTAGTCTAGTCTAGTCTAGTCTAGTCTAGTCTAGTCTAGTCTAGTCCAGTCTAGTGTATAGTCTAGTCTAGTCTAGTCTAGTCTAGTCTAGTCTAGTCTAGTCTAGTCTAGTCTAGTCTAGTCTAGTCTAGTCTAGTCTAGTCTAGTCTAGTCTAGTCTAGTCTAGTCTATAGTCTAGTCTAGTCTAGTCTAGTCTAGTCTAGTCTATAGTCTAGTCTAGTCTAGTCTATAGGCTAGTCTATAGTCTACTCGATAGTCTAGTCTATAGTCTAGTCTATAGTCTAGTCTATAGTCTAGTCTATAGTCTAGTCTATAGTCTAGTCTATAGTCTAGTCTATAGTCTAGTCTATAGTCTAGTCTATAGTCTAGTCTATAGTCTAGTCTATAGTCTAGTCTATAGTCTAGTCTATAGTCTAGTCTATAGTCTAGTCTATAGTCTAGTCTATAGTCTAGTCTATAGTCTAGTCTATAGTCTAGTCTATAGTCTAGTCTATAGTCTAGTCTATAATCTAGTCTATAGTCTATTCTATAGTCTAGTCTATAGTCTAGTCTATAGTCTAGTCTATAGTCTAGTCTATAGTCTAGTCTATAGTCTAGTCTATAGTCTATTCTATAGTCTAGTCTATAGTCTAGTCTTTTTTATAGTATAGACTATATTCTAATCTATAGTCTATTCTAAAGTCTTGTATTTAGTCTAGTCTATAATATAGTCTACAACACTCTTTCCTGTCCTTCGTGAAAAGTTTTGAAACAAACATTCTAAAAAGGTATATAACTACATTGAACTATGTATTGGCAACATTGTTATCACTAACAATGGTTTTGCCGCTCTCTAAGCATGAGAGGATGACAACTAAACAAAAAACCAAATACAAAAAAGCAAACATAAATAAAAGAAAACAAAAAGACTATCCACACAAACAAATAAAAATAATGCTGGAAATATAAATGAAATCAACGTTCGGTCAGTTTTGTAAAAATCGTATAAGAAGTTGGCACGGCTTTCAATACTACGCGGTTGTTAAATAATTTAAAAATAAATAAAATAATACTCATACAAAAAAACTAGGTGCAATTGTAACGACAAAAAATAATAACACTACAATTTGTTTTCTAACAGTGTAAAATTACATTGATACGATTTCAATATTAAATTTAATTTTGACTCGCAGCAGAGGGTGTTAATTAAACCTTGCTTTTAGATTTAAATGAATTGATTTAATTTGAAAAATTTGTATTAAAAAATCAAGATCATTAATTCAAAATTATTATACATACTTTACTATAATTTCATTTGTCAAGCCTAAAAACGCAACAGTAACGACAGACGAAACGAACATCATTATTATCCTCATCATTGTCGCCGTGTTCACATTGTAATTGATAAATAACGTGTGATAAATGTGGATTTGACATCAGTTTTTGTACTTTTTGTTTTGTGTTTTTTTTTGCTGTTTGCGCTTTATTTTTTTTTTTTTTTTGTGAATTTAAATAAATGAATTATATTGTGTAAATCTTTTTTTTATTATTATTAAAATTAGTTGTGGAAATAGTTTTGCTAAGTAAAATACATAGTCACATAGAAAGGTGCAAAAATATTATTGAAAAAAGTTTATATTAATAATAAAAAAATACCAAAAAAGCATCAAAAGGAATTTATTTTTCTTAAAAATAATTTTTATTAAAATTTGTTCTTTAAATTTTGTTTGTATTAAATTTAAATATATTTTTAACTATTTTTGAGGTTGAAAATTTAAAAATTTAATTAACTGCTGCATTGCTGAACAATTTTGAAGGATTTATTTAAATAAACAAAGCAATATTGAGCTGATCCGGTAAGTTTTTTTTAGTACAAAGAACAAAGAACATTTTCTACAAATGATGAAATTCTTTTTATATTTTTTATTTAATATGTTTATATAAAAAAATAATTTTAAATACGTAATAATCGCCCAAGTTCCCGTATTTTTTTTAAATTTTCTCGGTATATGATATTTACAATAAATTTTGAATATATATGAAAATATTTATAGATTAAAGCAATGATTATAGAATTATAGTGAAAAGTCTACATATGTAGTATAAGGAGTAAAATTTCGACTCTGAATCACCTCAATCGAAGTAGAAACTATTTGTTGCGGCAGATTTAAATACTATTGTAAAATATAAATAACTTAACATTGTAGTGTAAACAAAAAAGTTTTATTTGCTTTGAAAATGTCGAAGCATCATATCGGAGAAGTACCAAAGCCAAATATCCCGGGCGATAAGGTCATGCTCTGTATTTCGTGAGATCAAAAGGGTCATATCTGTTATGATAGAATGTTACAGTGGCGAATGCAGCTGATTCGTTTGAAGCAAGTATTGACAGAAAAGCGTTCAGAATATGCGGCCCAACATGATAACGCAATAGTCCATCACGACAACGATCAGTTAAACGGTAAAATACCTTTTTGGAACATAGTATTTTGATCAATTGAGAAGGCTCTCTTTTGGATATGCTTCATTTAAGAACAGTTTATTACTCTTTGTATCAACATAAATTTCATTCCATCAGAGGAGTGGTCCTAACAATTTTCATTTAGAACTAGGAGAATATAGATATACCATGAACTAATAGGATCAATACTTTCTTATTGTTCTCAATCTGTATTTATGTAGATTGAGGTCAAAATCTTTATAATAACACATGAAGTGAAATGAAGCAGTTTCTACCAGTAGATTTGTGTAAAATGTTATAGAAGATTCTCAATTTATTGGGTTTGATCTAATAGCATAATTTTTGGATTAATAATTTTATACTAAAGTAGGAATAGACTGATAAAGCATACCACTACTGTTTGTAAAAAGTCAAGATAATTTTTAATATAATTGAGTCCTTAGTCCAATAGAGGAGTTAAATATATGTACATATCTATTCAATTGGCTAGACTATGTATTAGCCTATCGACTGGTTTACTGACTAAGTTTATACTATAAACATTTAAGAGCGTTATAATCGGATATACCTATAATAACGCTCGAGCGTTGGATTAATTATGAACCGATGTTTACAGAATATGGTAAAGTGATTAATTTATACATAATTGTTATCGATTTATTGCCATTTATGGATATTAAACATTTTCTGAAGGCGACCAAACTTGGTCGGATATTTACTATACTTTACAACAGAGTTGGCAATGACGAATTTTGTACAATTTAAATTTATTTTTTGATTTAAATAATAATCTAGCGCAAAATTCGAGGGAAAACCGACTTCGGTTTTTATATGTGCAATTTTAATAAATGTTTAAAGGACTTTTTACTATGGGAGAGTCTAATGACTTTTTTATGGTCTAGTGTATTAAGTAGTGCAGATACTAGATAAATCTGGAAGAACTAAAACCTTGGAATATACGTTATAATTTGTATATAAAATGCATTTTTAATAGATGTTTACTTTCTGTTAGACTTTGGGAGAATCTAATGACATTTTTATGGTCTAATATATTAACTAGCGCACATACTAGTCCATACATTTAGTCTTTAGAATATTCTATTGACCAGTCTATTGTATATATTCTATAGTATCTAGTCCATACACGAATCTATTGTCACTAGACTCTAGTGTATTAAGTAGTGCAGATACTAGATAAATTTGGAAGAACTAAAACCTTGGAATTTACGTTATAATTTGTATATAAAATGCATTTTTAATAGATGTTTACTTTCTGTTAGACTTTGGGAGAATCTAATGACATTTTTATGGTCGAATATATTAACAAGTGCACATACTAGTCCATACATTTAGTCTTTAGAATATTCTATTGACCAGTCTATTGAATATATTCTATAGTATTTTATCTAGTCTATACAAGAATCTCATTAAATTTTTATCGATTATCGACTAGTCTTTCTTTAATGTATAGACTAGTAATTTTTCTATACTAGTATTTTTTCTAGTCTAAACTTCTCTAGTATATAGACTAGTATTTTCTCTAGTCCTTTCTCTAGTATATAGACTAGTATTTTCTCTAGTGCTTTCTCTAGTATATAGGCTAGTTTCTTTTCTAGACTTCTAGACTAGTCTATAGACCAGTATTTTTTTATAAATAAACTGATATTGATATAAATTTTCAAAAAATATGGATTTGGTATCAAAAAAGTAAAATTTTTATGCTGTTTTGTACAATTTGGAAATTCCATTTGCCATCCCTACTTTACAAAATAATTTCTGGGTGCATAAAACTTCGTGAAACCGTGGACCGATATTGCCCATTTTCAAAACGAAATATTTTTGATTAATTAAGGAATAGAGTATCAATTTTCGAATCGTCTTAGAATTTTACAAGGATGCAGAATAAATATTCTTTATGGGGCTTACGACTGATATTGAACAAATATATCCGAATAGCATCTTATTATTGATATGTAGAAACCTCTTGTGTTCTTTGGAAATCATAAGTTGAGTTTTAATATTTTATCGATATTAGTTAGTTAGTTAGTTAGTTTGAAAGGAGGATGTATATACATCAAATCCGAAGAAATACACCTAGGCCTCTATCGGGCCTGTTGTGCGCTCCTTAACCAGTGCCTCAGGTGGGAATCGAACCCACCACCTCCGGTCTACCAGACTAGAACACTAACCACTAACCTACCGGAGGCCACTTATCGATATTAAAAAAAAAGAAACATTTTTCCCGATAACGGTGTTCTCCAACAAGAACCCATTTATTTATGATCAACTTATCATTATGTCTTCGCATAGTTTTTGCTATTTGCTAGCATAAATGATCAACACTTGAGTTACTAAGTAGACATGAGCAAATATCTTATTAATCTAAAAATAATTCTTAAATAAATTCAAAAAATCTTACTCGTGCAACTCCATAACATCAAAATATGTATACAAACATCGAAGATATCAAATTTAAATGACAAAAAAACTTAATTTAATAAAAAAATTAAAAGTACTTTTACATTCATACATACACGCTTTGCCAAGTTAAATTTGTTTATTATAGTTTTGTCTAATAATTTAAAACGACGACAACGATGAATAAAATAAAAATGTTTGCCACCTTTGAATAAACATTCATTCATTTCGATCCATACATTTACGAATTAGTAAGCTTCTCAATTTTCGAACGTAAAAAGTAAGAATAAAAGGAAATATTTGCTTTATGGACTTAAATACTCTTCTAGCTTTTATTAACCTTTTCATAAGTTTATTAAATAAAATAGTAAATTTATTTTTATATCTTTACTCTATACAAACTACTTTTAATAAAATTTTATTACTCACCAAGAGTGCAATTTTTTATGGAAAATATTTTTATTTTATTATTATTATAGTTTCCCATTTTTTTATATTTTTGTTATACATACGCGTACAACTTGTTGAAAAAATTAAAAAAAAAAAAAATAAATAAAACTCACTTTCAATGTCATTAAGCCGCAGACGTTTGATACTTTGGTACGAATGTTAAACATAAAAACAACTCAAAGAAAAAAGTATTAAATAAAAAATAAATATAAATAATTTAATATGCAAATAGTGTAACAATATTAAGCTGAAGTTTAAATAAGTTTAATGCTAGTTTTTTTTTGTAAATTTGTTTTGTATTTTAAATAAAATTCCACTTGTGTTTCTTTGTTTATAAACAAATTACCTGTTTGCAATATTAATTTGTTCAATTTTAAATCAATTCGATAATTCTGAAACAATTAAAGAATAATTTTAAATGCTGATTTGATCTTTTACTTAAGAATTCTATAAATACTCTTGTTTTATTATATCAGAATAGTTTTCACTTTAAGGAAATGAAAATTCAAATGTTTGTTTCCTATTTCCTTATTTAATTTTCAAATGCGCACTTTTTTGTTTAATTGTGGTTTGTTGAAAATTAATATTTTAAATAGTTAACAAGTTGGTTTTTGTTTAAAAGTTCAAATTTGTTTATAATTATTGCACATGTGAGTAATCACGTTTTATTTTCGATTACTCTTCAATACATTTCATTCATAATTCGCTTATTAAACAACTTGTGACAAAAAATTCGACACTTTTGCAAATTGGACTTATGAACTAAGTATATATGTATGTACATTAGACCGACTCACAAAAAATAGAGCTTGATGATGTTACCCAAAATATTTTGTTTTTAGTGTTGTCCGTTCGTGAGCTGGAAAGTTTCCAAGAAAATATCGTATGGGGCACACGATTTTTCATGTTTAATTCAATATTTTACCCAGGTTCAAAAAATCTTTGTATTGTTTTATGATGTTTCCCAAAATATTTCTAGTCTATTGATGGCCGTTCGTGAGCTGGACCGGTTACAAAAAAAGTCCCTTTTTAGATATTTTTTTAAATTTTACAGTTTTTTCTTAAACAAAATATACAATATGTGGTATCATTTGAAAGGTTTTTTGAAGCCACGTCTAGTGATGTTCAAAATTTGCAAAATTGTGGACACATTTTATTTTTATTAGTGAAAAACCTAACAATTCTAAATATTTTTGAATATGACAATTATAAGCAGACGGTTATTTATGATTAATACATCATTGGACGCGGCTTTAAACCCCCTTTCAAACGATTCCCCATATTGAATATTTTGTTTCAAAACAAAACTAAAATTTGAAAAAAAAATAATTCCAAAATACCTTTTTTTAATTTGGTCCAGCTCACAAACGGTTATCGATAGACTTAAAATATTTTGGGAATCATCATAAAACAAAGCAAGGTAAATTTTGAGAGGGGTAACAAAAACACGTTTTTGCTTTCCATACAAAGTGAGTCGGTCTAATGTACATATGTATGTATATATAAGTTTGTCATTTCATCAGACAG